GTTAACATGTATAAGTAGTATGTATCATCGATCGAAAGTGAAATGTCTGGTGGTGGAAGATTAAAAAAACGAAGAAAACAGAACGAGAACAGTGAGTGCTGTGGAAATGAAGCAACAATCAAGTCTGAAACGATTGAATGATATTTGCAAAAGGAACAGTCAAATTGGAGACAATTGGTTGACTAATATTGTGCGAATAAAGTATTTACTGTATGGTTCTCAGACTTTAGTAAGATTTTCTGTAGTTTTGTATTTAAATACATTCGATTGTTCCCATTTATTTTCTTGTACATTACACCACTGATATCTTGCTTTTTATCTCATAAGTGAGATATCTATGAAAAAACTGTCTGTTGAATTAGAGATTAAATCCTTCCACGGTTTGTATACAAGAGTTAATCACTTGGTTTTCTTTGTTATTGATCAGATCAAACATTTAGTATGAAAATAAATATAAACTCTTTCCCTCAAAGCTTGTAGGAATTTTAAACTTGAAAGGACATAATGATTCTTATCATAATCACGAAACTGAGTATGTTCTATATCATTTTGTCTTCAGTACAAAAATTATGAATAATGGTATTGATGAAGGAACTATTAAAAAAAACAGTATACTCACTTGCCATAAAATATTATTTGAAGCAATTATCAGCAACTTCATACCAATTAAATACTTATTAGTATCCAGTACACTGTGTTCTCTAGGTGAAGCTTGAGTATGCTCATTAGGTTAAGTGACTAAACATCATAATTCACTATCTTGATAAATGTGAGTAATTCCAAAGGAAGCCTAGGGTGTACAAACCACAACACGGTTCCAGTCCATGACGTCACCGATTGTTGATCCGAGCGACGCTGATGGATGTGAACTAGTTTACATCGATCAAATGTTGCAGATCTAAGGGCGACATGACAAAAAATAGGTCACCCTGCATCTATGACACACTAGTAAGCGAATGATGGATTGGACTATAATTTATGGACGACCGTTGAGACGTGCTAAAGTGACCTTGAGGATATCCACCTGCTTGATAATGTTAAAATTAATGTGAGGAAATAGGATTATGATTTAGAGTTACAGGTTACGGTTAGGAATATAAATTGGGGTTTTCATCACGAAATGACATTAGGTATAGTGTCAAAATACTGTTTAACTGCATGGATAAATCAATTTCGCGCCGAAATCCAAGATATGCCATATTTAGTTTGATTGATTTATTCATAAATTATAGTCTGGCTGAATAATGCATTAAAATTTCTTTAGATCCGACAACACTGTCACTTGGTTTCATGTTTTCTAATGATTGAATTGCGACCTGACATTCGCTTCGGTTCACCTAAATTTTAGTTAAGAAACCTGCTGGCAAATCAATTCAGTTGATGATACCAGAGAATATATTACTTACATCAGGCTTCACAAGTAAATATGACGTGAGCTGTATACCTCAACGTTTTTTGTTCGATGACTAGGTTGATGTCTATCCAAAAGCTCTATAGATATGAAAAAAAGTAATTTGGATAAACATTGATTACAACCCCGAATCCGCCTCTTACCACTTTTCAGTGACCAATATGATGTATTTTCGTTTCCTTGTGAAATATGAGTAAAATTCTTCTCACCAATTTTCAACTTTAGCTTAGATTATTTGAAAAAGTAATTTTCGTGTATGTCGCCAGTTATCTTCACTGTATATCAGAGATTTTATGAAAACCATTACTTTCTTTCGGACATGAATAACAAAATCATCGAGAAACCTTAAGATATAATGCAATTGTTTAAGCAGCTGATAAAGCCCAGAAACCATGAAGCTAACATTCTTATCTATGTAGATAAATAAATAAAATTTGTTTACTAAAAACAATATCCCATCAACTATACAGTAATCCATTAATGAAACATTTACTCCATATCATGGATACTATACATAATATTAATTAATATTAGAAACGTTCTTAATTAATAATTCATTATATATATATATATATATATATATATATATATATATATATATATATATATATATAGATAGATAGATAGATAGAGAGATCAAAACAAACTGAAAACTATCTCAATTTAACTTCTTCGCAATATCTATCCTTATGATTTATTTATAGAAAAGAGGAATAATATTGTTAACTATACAACGTTACATTAAATAGATTCAAATATAAAGTTAATCCCCTTTTTTAATGAAAAGAATTATTTTAAAATTTTCTTTTAATATTTTTTGTAACTAAGTATTATGCAATTTGGTCATGGTTATAACGACTATTTTCTATGAGGATCAAATCATTCTGTTCATTTCCATAGAGAATAATAGTGAAGAAATAAATCAATACAAACAAATCAAATGAAAAAATAAATAAAATCGTATTAAAATTTAATTTTTTTTTAAATATCTGGTATTTAAGAAGAGGCAAAACGGACGGCTGAATCTTTTATTCTTTGTATAAATCATAATTGCATAATCTATTTATAGATTTCAACTAAATAGAAGTTATATAACCGCCTAATTTATGCAGGATTACATAAATTCTATTCGACGCATATATTAATCATAACTTATTGCTTTTACAGTAGTATACTATAACAGATGTAAAATTATCACAACACAATGAGTATTTGGTAAAATGATAAATATTCTAGAATGAAAGGATAAAATAAAATGATTATTGTTTAGATATTGTTTGAGTTATCAGAACGACAAAACTTACACCTATTACGCTTGGTGGAGAATAAGCTACGGACTAGGCTTCTCCCACTAGTTGTATCTTGGGCTCTTCTTTCCAGTTTTTGTCAACTGCTATTCATTCTTTTGATGTTTACCTCCGATTCCCAACATAATCTGTTCTTAAGTCCACCTCTTTTCTTTTTGTTTTGAGGATTTTCGGTTTGAACGTGCATCGTAATACAATTGGATAATTTCCACAATGTATATCCAATCCATGTCCTGGATCTTTACCTGATTTCCTTTTCAGCTACAAGAGGGTTTATTCTCTCCCACAATGGTTATTGCCTATGATGCATGTTCAACGGGTCCGGAGTATCTTGCATAAACAACTATTTACAGACAACCATATCTTTTTGGTGATGATTGTAGTAGTTTTCCAATTTTATTTAAAATCATAAAATGAAGCTGAGCGATTTATTCAATTATTATTTTGTCGATATTGTAAACATATTTTATGAGTAGTAATATTATATTTACAGTTGATTGATCCTTATGTAATGACTAATATCAAGTTCGTTGAAGCCTTCCTAATGCTGGTCGAATTTTATCGGTTAAGTTTGATTGTGGCCATTAGTTTACATGACTTGACATTATGTGCATAATTTTGAGATGTCAGGTGTTGGTTGTATTTGTCAGAAAACGCTGACTTCGCGTTACCTAATACCCGTCATCAAAGTGCTCCCTGGCAGAACGTCAGTCCCCTAAAGATGACAAATATACTATGCTGAGAATTAATAAGTACCACGAAACCTGGGTTCAGAGTTTCCTGCCGACTGTCTTAACCCCCACCTTAATAATATTACATGTTACTAGGTTCCCATTTTGTCATATCAAGTGTGCAAAATTAGCTAACAAACAGACCGATCAAGAAGAGATTAAAATCAGGGAATCTATAACTGTATTATGTGACATAATAAATGAGTGATAGCGTATTCGTTATGACTTTTCATGCTTTTGGTGATGTAAACCAGTTACGATCTGACAATGTTACATTATTTTGCTCAGATATTCATTATGAGTTTTCATCATTCTTTCAAGTTTGGTAGATTAGTTATTTCACTGAACGATATTATTTTACTTTTCATTATTTGAAGACATTTATAGACGGGTGTTAAACTTATCCCCTACATTAACTTTTATATTGAACATATGGTGTACTTACATTCACTAAATCATTTTACGTGTAACAGAAAAATATATGGGAAACCTTAAACTGTTCAACTTCGCACCCTTCTACTATATTTAACCATTGAAATCGAGTAGTAATAACAAACACAAAAATACAAAAGTTGACAATTAAGTAATTTTAAACAGTGAATTATTTCATTGATTCGGTTTTTCATCTCGTTTGTTTATGTTACTCATATAGTGTCAAAATTTAGACAATCCTCATCTCATTTTAATCGGTTAATGGAATCACACAAAACGTTTCGAAACAACATAAATATAGATTATTTGTATAGCAAATATCTACATTATATGATTGAATTACATTATAACTATGTAAAATTGATAGTGAGTGTATACTGTTGACCAATCAGAGTAGTTAGAAATTACATACATATCAATCAGATGTGTTCAATAGTTAAATCAAGCTATTACAAAAACAATAGATCACAGTTTATTCTAATTATTACTGATTAAATTTATCAACTTTGAAAACTTACTTACTTACACCTGTTACTCCCAATGGAGCATAGGCCGCCGACCAGCATTCTCCAACCCACTCTGTCCTGGGCCTTCCTTTCTAATTCCATCCAATTCTTGTTCATTTTTCTCATGTCTATCTCCATTTCTCAGCGTAATGTGTTCTTTGGTCTTCCTCTTTTCGTTAATTTTTGAGGATTCCATGCGAGAGCTTGCCTTGTGACGTAGTCGGGTGCTTTCCTCAATGTGTATCCTATTCACTTATAGCGCTTCTTCCTGATTTCTTCATCCGCTAGTATCTAGTCTTTTCTCTCCTATAGTAGTTTGTTGCTGATGGTGTCTGGCCAACTATGAAAGCAAACCCATTATAGTTTTAGAAGAAAATAACATTAATTTAGATTATATTTAATCGTATAATTCAATGTTACATTCTAAAGTCTTACTTTGAATAAACAAAAAAGGTATAACGATTAAAAGATTTATCATTTTTAAATAGATTCATATGTACTACCTTTTGTAAAACAAAATTCTATGTCATACAAATAGATCTGTACAGCAAAAAATCAATAAAAAAGTTCACAATCATATAGATTTTTTTAGATTAACCTATGATATTGTTAAAAGAAATAGAAAATGAAATACGCAAGACAAAGGTGTACATTTCTATTCAGATATATATATATATATATGAAGAGATAGTGAATAATTGATTGATTGAAAGTATCATAAATAAATCTAATACTACTGTATAATATCATCTTGATAATAGTCGATTTTGACCAACTAATTCTACGATCTTGATGTAAATCAAAACTTTTCTTTCATTTGAAATACTTCAATATATAGAGATTATAATTTAATAATGTGCTGTTGTGAATATGAGATAATTAAATATATAATAATTTTTTTAATAACAATAATGATGGTGATTTATCTTGTTAGTGGTGAAGATTATTTATTAACAAATGAAGATATAAGTAAATTAACTGAAACAACAAGACAAACAACTATTGATCCAATTTTATTAGAATCCTATCGTAAAACTACAACTAAATCATTTATTATATTTGGTGTTATATTTGGTCTTATTAATGTTGCCTGTTGGATTGTATCAATCATAAAAGCGATTATGTAAGTTATGTTAATTGATGAGGATGATTTAAGCATATCAATTAACTTAAAGTAAATAATTGTAAAATTACTTTGAATTCCTTTTGAAATCAATTCTATAATTTAACTTATTTATAAGTTTTCTGAATAGTTCAGATATTTGGTGATTAAAGATAAATGATGGAAAGATTTAGACCAGTAGGTAAAGTTAATTTGTTCTCCTTAGTAATGAATTTTTGAAAGCTCAAAGATATTGATACCAATTGATAGGCTCAAAATCTGATCATCTATAAACTTAATCAGAGATGAATAGTTGTACGTGAACTTATTTGTATATGCCAATCAGCAACTGTAAAGTGACCATTGTTATACATTCTGATTATCAGTATTCATTGTCAACCTCTGAGTATCTGTGATATTCAGGAGTATTTGAATTATAGTATGAACTAAGAATCCCAGAAATAAAGCAATCGGATCAAGAAGTACTAGATAACCACAAACGAATGTACTGTATTTGGAATTCGAAATCAAGCATTCAACAAGTACAATGGAATCATTAGTTCATTCAAACACCACAGTATCATTAGCTCAAATTGTGAAATAGTATGAATTTCTTGATCTTTATTTTTCTTGGTGATGAATTGTTAACTAGTCTATATTAAACATCATTTTCATCAAACCGTAAATACCAAAGTATTTGACTTCGTGGTTATGCTATTATTTTACTTAATAAAGTTTACTAAACTGTCCAAAACAAATGCCATAATATTTATCTCTCCTTTGAAATCGAATAATTTGAAGTCACTTTATAAACCATTGAGCATAATAATAAAATCCATGTCATTTAGTTAATATTTCTAATTGATTTTAAAGATGATATGTTCATCATACTGCAGTAAACAGAGTGACTGTAAGAATACAAGTAAAATAAATCAATATTTAATAAAGTGATCAGTCTTTTGTATCAGCATTTCAGTTAATGTTCGCAATGCACTTTTTAAATGATTTAATAATTTTTTTACATTACCAATCAATTAAGAGGATTTTGTTGGTTTGCATGAAAACATAGGATTCAGAAATAATTCAGTATTCTTGTCATGATTATCGGTCTTACATCTATTAATAGCACTGCTGAGGAGTCCCATACTAGAACGAAACGGCCGTCCAGTGCTTCCAGGATTTCTATGGTGGTCTAGATTTGATCGACTCGTGGGTTCAACCACTAAATTACTACAATCTCCACTAAACCCCTTTGGAATAAGACATATTGAAATATTTCAAATTCAAATCTTAATGATGGTAAACAAACTAGATAGAACACATTGTACGAGCAAACATATTTACCTGTTAAAATATATATACGAGATATAGATACTGTCGTCATCTCTTTATTTGATGACACTATTTAACAAAATCATAATTGATTGCCATACTTTCGATAGCGACACGGAGACTAAAAGACAAATGTGTAATCTTGACTTATTTTGTTCAAATGCCTCATACGCCTCACGTGAATTTATCAGTTATCGCAAGTTAACGTGAAAGCAATTATGTTAGAATCAGAATCTTACAAAAACCGGGAGAAATAGCTACTCGGATTAAAAACAGTCTGAATACAAGGAAAGCTCATTTAATCTCTTCTCTTATCGTGGCCAACCTCAAATCCAACAAGTCGATAATTTATCATGATTATAAAATACCCTATTGGGACCAGTGTCCATAAATACCTTACCTTTGTATTCTTTTAAAAGATTTTTCCTATTAGAATGTTACTGTTAACAATTTTTAACACATATTTGTATCATTATGATTTTTATGATTTTTTTTAACACAGGCAGAATTTAATTGCCACTCAACCCCACTCCAATCATTACTCCTTAATCCATATCATTTTAAACTTGCCCTATTCGTTGGACGAACATCCGATCTAATTTATAACCACAATACTATTTGTCTTTTCCTGTGATATCTACATTTATTCTTATTAATAATCTCATAATTACAGTTAACGTACAAATACAATCAAGCTGTCAGTAGATAGTTAAATGAAGATTTTCGGGTTTTCCCAGCCTAAATCGTGAAATGATCTTAGCTGGAAGACCATTGAAAACCTGGAAGCATGGGACGGCCATCTCGTCCCAGTATGGGGCTCCTCATTAACGCCCAACCACTATCCTTCTACCAGGAACCAAACACATGACTCTCAATATAGCACGCAAATGCTTGAACTTTAAAGCACTGGATCGACATTCAACGTGGTTATTTTTAAGCCCAATCAATCTACAATACTGAGCGACTTTATTCCACTGTCTTTAGTGGGTAACTTCTTCACACCCAACACGACTGTACTCCACTAGTTACGGCTTCTCACTGGAACTCTGGAAATTTCCTTTCGAAGTTAGTCCCTAGTGAGCACATGATTATTACCAGTATAGCATTTTGTGGAGATTGTAGAATGTTCATAGTTTAAATTAAGTTAACTTTGTATAGTAGTAGTTTCAACACTCAAACTTGATTTTATTTTACTAGTAGTACTGAACTCATATGCTGTAATGTCTAAAGGAAATGTTTATCATAAACGTATTTTTTTACTGTAGAACCTAATGAGGATTTATCGAAAGGAATATTCTCCATTTACACATCTGTGTTTTTACAATAATGGAAACCTTTAGAGAATTTTGAAAGTATTTATTATACTTTCAAGGTTTTTCAACCCGAACTCACAAACTCCCACAACTCCCGTCTTAAGCAATAAGCTTCCAATGATCAATAACATTGTGAACAGTTTAGTTTATTTCAGGGATCTTGGATTTTAATCATCGATCCAGATATTCTCTGACTTGCCTACGGTATATGGAAACCATTGTCAGCTTTACGTACCTACTTACAAAGTCAATGAGATTCTAAGCACTCTCAGTGGGGTTATCATTCAAGTCATGTTATTATAAACTTCAATATACCAAATTAGTCATCATAAAACAATGTTTTATCACACATTATTTCTTATAAACTTCCAGTAATATTCTTTGTACAAAGTACATGGTAATCTAAAGTACACATTACTACATAGTTATATAAATCAATGAGATATGTAGAATGAACACTTCTATTAAAATCTTTAATTAACCTATGGGAAATTACTTTTAAATAATTACGTTAGAGATAAATACAATTATTGAATTGTTTGTGTGAAATGCTCCTTAATTTAACAAATATAATTTCATACTAACAATGAGAAATGTTCTATTAGATTAAATGTATTAGAAATGAATTGAATTATTATACTTTAATAAATATACCAAGAATAATTATGGAAACTGTAACTGATTCACTCTGTGTTTTAGTTAGTTTAATTGAGAAAATAATATTCTTCATTATGGAGTTTTTTAAAAAATTCATCCTTAAGTAAGAATGAATAGATCTTTCTTATCAAGTTATCTAAGATTTCTTTACAGTGTTCATTTACTTATTATCTGGAATAAGATTAGAATTTTGACCTTTATATCTGATGTCAAGTACCATAACATTATTATTATTAGCTATATTCAGTATTATATTTCTGGTACAATTTAGAATTCTCAGCGCAAAGTATTTCAGTAAGTTTCCGTTTCTTATGTCTTGATCGATCCTGACAAGAAATATTGAGTGATCACCAGTTAGATGTAAGCGATTTCAAGAATCACTAAATGAATTATGTTCCTTTTTACAATGGATATTGCTAACAACCACGATGTCTCTGATTGTACAACGAAGTTGTACAGCGACAGGTCGTAAACAATTCTAAATGCTCTTGAATAGGTTATGTGATTAACAATCATCATGATTTGTTAAAACAAACAAAAGTCAGGTAACTTGCTGAAATATCTAGATGTCAGGAACAAGTATCCTAGATATTCAAGCAGGTCGCCAGATCATATTGAACAACTTGACTCAAGTATACTTTAAGGTAAAAAAAATTAAGAATCGTCATCATTAGTTTTTTTCAATCTACTCACAATTAAGATTGTATCTGTAAGATGTGTAACAGCATTATGATAATCTAAACGTAGAGAACAAATTTTTGTAGATTTAAATCAGATTTTAGCTTTTCATTTATGACCAGTAATTTCTTGTGTTTATTCGACGTATATATATTTTAAAGCGATTAGCTAGACAACGATAAATTACATACAACTGGTTCCATTTTTGAGTTTTAATAAACCCAAAACAACAATTGAAATAAAATTGAATGAATTCCTTTGATTTCATGATTTCTCATTAACCGCTTAAAATTGTAGTTGTATTAAACTATAAGTGATACAATATAATATTCTGAATATAAGTGACGGGAAGGATTGGAGTAACAGTACTTGTTGATCACAAAAATATATACTGTAAGATCATTTGAAGATGAGATTCAAAAACACAAAAGAAGGTGAAGCATTAATTATATGGAGTTGAGAAACTGATAAAATTAACTGTGTAGTTTTAAAATATTACTATCACAAAGCCAGGTTCTCGGATGAATAAGTCAGTCAATTAATTATGTAACAGGCAGCATCTTTTGTATGGAATATTAGGCTATAATTTCAAACGGAGATGGATAGTTGCTAGCGGTGGAGTCCAGTATGTTTCCATCTGTTTCCGACTCATCAGCCGGATGTACTTGCATCCTATGGTTTATGCTCACGCCTGGACTATAAATCAGCACCGTTCTCTAGAAATATCACTACGATTTCTACTTATCTACAGAGTCACAATGGCCACTAACTTGTGAAACTGGGTGCATTTTGATATATATATATATATATGAATCAGACTGCAATGTTAATACTGACTAATTCAGTGTTGTTATATAATACAATATGGGATACTGTATGCAGTTTATGATTCAACTCTCCCCTCTCTTCCCCTAACATAATTTCACACTGTTTACATCTACACTTATGATAAATTTATATTGTTATTCCTAGAGTAACAAATGTTGACAAGGTAACAGATTTCTATTAATATGATGGGTGGTTATAACCTATAATGTGTTCAAAGATTTTAATACTGACTAAAGCAAAAGTTACGTCTATTCTTTAGAAAAATTCATTATAAATTTGTCAGTTATAATTCAGTATTTCTTAACCTTAAAACATCAATTTTATTTTCCAAAAATAACTTCAATAATTCAATACACCATTATTTGCTTATTGATTTTTTTCTTATAAAAACAGAGACAGACGAAAAATAAAAAAGAGAAATTTAGCTCGTCAAGATGCAAAACGTTTCAAAAGTGAAAGTCATCGAAAATCAGTTCTAAAAGATTTAATAAATCCTGAACCGCCAACATTAATTTTACCAAATATTGTTGATAACGCAATAAAAATTCATAAAAACATTTCACCAACAACTTCAAACCCATCAGATTCTCCAATTCATCATTTTTCAAGATGTTCAACTTTACGACGTTCTGATTCACTTAAACGATCAACACAAAGTGAAATAGATGAACCAACAGAAAAAGATTTATTTGTTAAATAAATTAATTCTTCTATATTTCAGTAGTTTTCTATGTAGTTTAGGTTCTTTTTTTATAGTAAAATACTTTGTTCCATCATTTTCCTTATCAAATGAATATCCTATAGAATACTTTTAACATATATTACTTATTATTTGCTACTATGTAACTTACTACTATTTTTACATATCCAAAAGGTATTGAATTACTATAACCAGTAGTGTATATCAATAAATTTTAAAATTTTATCACTATTTACATGTAACCATGGGAACATTTAAATATATTCAAACAATATGTTTAACAGATAAGTGTTTATATATAAATAAATACTTAAATATTAGATTAGTAATTTTGTTTATGTTATTTTGCAAATAGACATTTTGTTTATCTTCAGATTAAAATTAATTTTATACAGTTAACATACAAGACAACTGATACTAGCCACTCAAGAGGATAAGGGTGGTGATATCTGTTGAGAAATATTAAATTGAATGATAAATAAAAAGTGACTAACAGATTACTAATACTTTAAATAATGAGTAACAATAAGAACTAATATGTGCATTTTATACCATTTAGAAACCCATCAAAAAACCAACCTTTATTTTTTGCAGTTGTTCTTAGTGAAATAAGATGGTAGTACTAGCACATCTCTATCGGGTGTAATACACCTATTTTGTTGTTGTAGAAATTTAAAAATTTTCTCGTTAATAGTCAAGATTACCACAATTAGTATCCTCTGGAATATTATTACTGATTTTAAAGTATAAATCTAAACAAACCAGATTGAAGGTCAATTAATACTAGGTGATTGTAAGTGGCGACTATGGAACGGCGGATTTACATTTCAGGCTAGTTGGCACTCGTCAACAGAACGTAAGTGAACTTTTAAAGAAACTGACAATTTCGATCAGATCTGAACACGCTTATCTCTGCTTCACAGCTTGAAAATGGTAGCTAGCAATAATCCTTAGTTCAGGGTTTCCTACCGGCTACATTCAACCACGTTACAGAGTAAATGACATGTCGAGTCGTCGAAACTAATGGCTACATTATAACTTGATCGACAGAATCCAATCAGTACTAAAGGACTAGACGAATATTAAATTGGTCAGAACTACTCAATGACCAATCATCAATGAAGCGTACCTAATGTCGAAAACTGAATGTGTCAGAACAGTTTAAAAGAAAATTTCACATAAACTTTCAATGTTCAAATATTAGCTCTTACATCCATCAGTAACAGCAATCATCGTTACCAGGAGCGTCTTTTTATGATGTGAAATCGTGATTGGTAAAATATGATAACTTAGTAATACATATAACAATCTTATAGGTAGTATAGTATTTCTGAATAAAATATTGAAAAAAATACCATAGAAATAATCAACTTTCTTTTTATAATAATCATAGACATGCGTAAATAAATCCCCTTTTAAATGATACTAAAAATAATGATATAATTATAAAGTCCCAATAAGCCATTTCTTCATAGAATAAATAAATTATCAAGAACCAACCCAGTTGAGGGGTAAAATACGGAACTTTTGACTGGTAAGGTTGCAGATTTAAGTACTGCAACATTCATTTTGTTAAAATACTGTTACCAATCCTAAATTATAAAGTGTGATTCAAAGTTGAGGACACAAATATATACATACGTACTAGGATTTTATTTTCATTGTTCACCTATAAATATTTTCAGTTAAGTTCGATACTTTATTCTGATAGTTTTGTTCTCTGACCTGAATGGTTTAGTCATGGTGCTTTCATCCAGTTCACAGAACAAAACTTCATCAAAATCATCTACCTGAGTTACAAATCTTCTTCACCATACTTACTTACTTACACTTACGCCTGTTACTCCTCGTGGAGGAGCATAGGCCGCTTACCAGCATTCTCCATCCAACCCTGTCCACCATCTCAACACTTTATTCTATCAAATATAAGACTTAAAGTCACGCAATAAAACATTATATCATTATAGAAAATAATCACATGAAATCCAATACTTTCTACAACTAATCTTTTACTTCTTCACTTTTTTTGAATTAAATCTAGAACTTTAAAAAAGATTATTTAACCTTAGATAATGAAGTAATTAATTAAATTTTGAGTCCACAAATCATTCATCTTGAGAATATCGGTAACTAGTTTGGAGTTACAATCATTGTCTAAACCTGAAATTCTAACCTTGACCTTAATTTTTGAAGAAATCATAATGATTAAATTCTAAAATTAATACTTAATCAGCTCCTTTAACCAATTTAGTTAAGAAAGCATAAGAATGATTCGTATTAATATAAGTAGTTTATAGATATTGTTGAATTTCATGATTTACATCACGAGCTGTTCATAATCAGACTACTATTGGAAATCAGAAAACATTTAATAACTGTTTCATCCTGGTATTGGATTCATTAACACTATCTATCCACTAAGTATCAAACACAGAACCTTCGAATTTCCTAATCTAACTTCAATCGATTTGTGATATTGTACGACAATCTCGTATTATCTGAGAAGGATAAATGTCTCATACCCAAGAAAGTTGCGCTCCATTGGTTATAGCTTGTTATTAGGACTTCTGGAATGACCTCTCAATATTAATCACCTAAGAGCACATGACTGTTATTAGTGTACTAAGATAAAGCAAATGCTTAATGTTTCCTAATTTCGGTCAATTTAGTAAACCTTAAGATACACTGAATTTCAGTGGTAACTATTCAGATAATGAGACAGATAATCAGATGAAATAAAAGCTGTTATAACTTTCCCAAAGTACATTTGCTTTAAAACTCAGCATTTTCTTTTGACACTAATTTTAAACATCACTTCCTACGTACCGTTATAAACTAAGCGGAAGTTTTAATGTGAAACATTTTTTGTATATAGTTTCTAATAAACCAAATAAAAGGAAAGTAGTTAATTAACTGTAGTGTCAGTTATTATGCCAAGACCATATACCTTATTCGAGCTTTCGGACATCCCATTCTATTCATTTTACTTGAACCATACATTGACCTTGTTATTTATTCGCTTATCAATCTAGACTGTTTTTATATGAGCGTATATGTGTGTGCCCTTCTTATTCCATTAATCACATGTCTGTAGCTTTATTTTGTCTGACTATAAATATTGAGTAACACTTGACAAAGATGGAGTTGGCTTCTCAGCCATCTTCCATACGTGTCATTTTGCTTTGCTATGTTCTATTCGCTTCATGTACAAAATATATGTATTCACAAATCAATTCTCGTTATTCGACTTATTTAATTCCGTTATTGACTAACGCGATTCAAGTCGACGATGATATACGAGAATCAGCGATAACAAACATTTATACACTCTAAATGGAGTCAGATCAATGGGCCACTAAATAACTATCTGTTCATTCATTGTAAGTAACAGTTTATCATTTAATCAATATTCTTTAGTCAATAATCATTCTTTTTTGTTTGACTAATATATTGGAATTTTGACATTTGAATTGTTATTCTCTAATCAATAAGCCTTCATAACTTTTCATTGATTTAATAACTTACTATTTGTTATTTTTAATAATTTTTACTTCATTATATTCTCTAACCTAGAGGATATATATCGGTTAGCTTTTAATCGATTAGTATATGGTTGTATAGTATGAAAATGTTACATTTATAAATGGTGCATATTTATTGCTCTGAGTTGTATACATCTATTTTATAGCTGTCAAATTTATTCATCTCTCATTATAAGCAAAGATGAATAGTGGATAGCAGTGGAATCCAGGACGTGCTTTTTGTCCTATTTGGGACTCGTCAGCTGGATGTACCTGCATCTCAGAGGTGATGTTCACTCTGGGACTCGAACCCAGTACCATTCGCTTCAAACGCCATCGCGTTATGCACTTAGCTACTAAGTCCTGATAGCCACTTGCTTGTGCAATGGGGTGAAGTTCGATTCGTCATCAGTTGGAAGATTCAAGTAAAACAATACCAAGTGAATTCATCTCTAATTGTTTTCAAATTATCATTTGTCTTTTCTTTCTTTTTTGTTTAAATATATCTGCTCAACACTTTACTTTCTATAATTCCTGAACCGATCCATTAATCGTTGATATTTATGCCATTGCCGAATTAACATTTCATCATCATTACAAGTGATATAAGTAACAATAATGTGTAAATTTTAAGTATTACATATGGGACATTTTCAAGTTTTGTATATTGTTTGCGTTAAATAGTTGAAGGCAATTGGGAGGAAACCCTCGACCTGTCACGAAATCTAGTTCTACCGGATACCACTGAATATCTCAACATAATGTACACAATAACGGGTCGTTCGGACTAATGGTCATATTGTAACTTGGCTGAAAAAATTCGATCGCTTCTAATCATTAGTTAATCAGTTGTTAATTCCCATTTAATAATCGGATTCATGAGTCGATGGAAGCTAGAGCACTAATGGAAATCTGGAAGTACTGGTTGGCTGTTTACTCCTAGTATAGGACTACCAACAGTGCGCATTTATAGTCCCTCATGTGGGACTCGAGCCCAGGACCTTCGGTCAAACCACTGAGTCGACATTCAATGTTGTTAATGTCTAACTTCTCTAGTGACTGGTGTCATGAGGTAATTCTCGGAGTTCTAGTGAGAAGCCGTGACCAGTGGAGTCCGATCCGTGTTCAGTAGAGACAGGTATCTATATCACACAGTGGATGAATGGTTACGCAACCATTCGTGGGTTGATTGAATTTAGACATTGACATTGGATGCCGACTCAGTGGTCTAAAGCTTAAGCGTTTGCGTGAGAAACCAAAGGTCCTGGGTTCAAATCTCGAGTGCTGAATCATGCATGCGCACTGTTGAGGAGTCCCATAATAGGAAGAAACGGACGTCCAGTAATTTCAGATTTTCCATAGTGGTCTAGATTACATAAATTCATAAATTCAACTATTAAAATCTCTGCAATCTTCACAGATCCCATTCTGATCAAAATTCCTATTTACTTTCAAATGCAAATAAACAAAAAATAATCCACAAAACGGTTCAATTGGTTTTTCACTGTTCAGTCATTTATTTAGGGTTTAACTGGGATTTTGCAGACAAATATGAATATTACCTTCCGTTTAAAATGTTATTTTCATCAAACGATAACTGTAACTATAGGAATAAGAAATCGTAGAAACCATCATTACACGTCAAAAACCAGGGAACGTCATGTTAATAAATATAGAATATTCATACTACAATAAAAAAATTTCACATTATAATCATCTTTAGAATCAAATTACCACTGCAAGCCAATTCACCTTAT